GGCAACCGTGCCAGCGGTGCGGCCGGCACTGGCCTGGTCAGGGATGCAGGTGGGGAACCGCGGCGGCCACCTGCCAGCAAGCACGGGCCCGCCCAGCCCGGGGGAGGCCGGCGAGGGGCCCTAGGAGGCAACAGTGGGGACAGGAACCCCAGGAAGCCTGGGCCTCCGCCCCGCCGACAAGCCTTGGGCCTCCCAGGTGTGCCGGCGGAGGCTGCCAGCCCAGCCCCGGCCCAGCGAGGTCCGAGGACCATCCTGGGAGCGGTGACCACCTCCAGCCCTCCCCCTGGCCTCCCGCCTGCAGCAGGGCCCCTCCCGCCAGGCCCAGCGGCCACTCGTGCGCGGCAGCCGGCACCAGGGGCAGGAGCCTGTGCCCGCGCCTGCCACGGTGGCCCCCCCAGCGTCTCCCAGCGGCCTGGCCCTGCAGACCAGCCCCCGCCCACCAGGCAGCCCCGCACCCACCTGCCCAGGGGCCGAAGGCAGGTGTGGGGTCCACCCTGCCTTGGGGGCTCTGCAGCCTCTCCTCTTCCACTGCCTGCCGCTAGGGAGGCCCCGGGGCACAGACAGTGGCCCCTGGCTGGACGTCCAGCCCAGCCCAGGGCCGAGCGCCCCGCAGGAAGCGGCCTGGCCGCCTAGACTCCTTTCCTCAGACCGTTTCCTTCATCCTGTTGTTCTGCGAGGGCAGACGGCCCACCCCACCTCCATCCCCCCTTCCCGAGTGGGGCGGCCTCCCTGCTGGGCTTCCCTGCCGAGGGGCCGTCCAGCAGCCGCCTCCACCCCCCGCTGCCCAAGGCCGGAGGCGCCGCCTGCCCTCGGGGTCCCGGCTGCGGCTGCACGTGGCGGGGGCGCCTCTGCTCATGACCCCCGCGTCGTGAAGAGCCACCGGCCCGCACACGGTCAGTGGGTGCCCGCCGAGGCCTCCGCACGCAGAGCGAAGAGCTTCTCCCAGCAGGCGGCCAGGGCAGCGAGGGCCCGCTGCAGCAGCCGCCTCCGGCCGGCAGGGCGCCAGGCCCTCGGGGTCTCAGGGTCCGGGGGCTTCTTCCGCTGCCGGGACAGGACGGGGTCAGCCCCACCCAGCCCCTGCTCACCCCACACCCAGGGAGCCAGGCTGGAAGG